ATAATGCGGATTGTTCAAAAGTTTGATATGCCGGGTTTTGTTGGACCAAGTCTTTCGCAATAATACTATAAAGATGAAGGATAAAACCTTGAGGATAAATTCAACCAATTCCTTCTGAGGTATGCGGTCACAAGTTCGACCTCCATTCAGAACCGTAGTGGCGTAATGAGTGCGTGTGTGGCCTATACAATCACCTAGCCAGCCGAAGTACAAGTCATTGCTTTCATCCTCCCAGCGAATCTGATACCAATCAACGACCGACTCTGGAACGGTGGAAGGCTAGGTTGGCTTAGACGGATATCGATCCAGGACCCGAACCTGTGACTATGTGCATGTGATAGTGTGCCACTTGCCACTACACCACCTCTGCCTTATTGTTAGTACTATTCGTGATCGAAAACGATGCTTTTTTGCATGGTTTTGTGGCTTTTGGAAGACTTCGGGAATCCCCCCGCTCCAAAGTGGCACAAACGTGAAGGCATGGTTTTCTGCCTGAGTTTCCACTCGCTGTGTCAGGTGGTTCCGCTTGCTTACGTCTAGAAAGAATCGAAGTTAATCGTTGCCATCGTTGTTAAACGTAATGGTAGTCCGACGATTGAATTAGAAAGTGGGAACAAAATCACCACTAACTACTGCTTACGCGAAAGCGCTGTTTTAGCGAATCAGCTTCCTAGAGACTCAACAGTGAGAGAAGTTTGAAAGTAACCTGGGAACTCCTCAAACGCTGTCCTCAACTTGCATGCAATGCTGCCAGCTCTGCATACTCGCTTCCTTCACGATAATGAGTTTCGATTTTCCGTGTGCAACACGCATATCTGTTCTTCGACTTTGTTAATAAAATAAAATCAACAGCTCTGGGTTCCATAAGAACCCTTGATGGAAGTAGGTCCTTATTTAAAATAGATTCGTGAACAATTCTGAACCTATTCTATTTTCTGATAAAAGTTTGCCGATAGCATAAGGAGAAAAGCTCAATTTCAGAGGGAGATTTACTGAGAGGGCAAGTCATATCATCAGGTCATAGAAGTCACGAATTCGCGTAGGGTCAACTAGGTGCTGCCCAGTGAGCTTAACCCATGTCCATATTCGTCTCCACGAAGCACAGACTACGAATTCCATCCAAGGTGCAACGTTTTTAGAAACCTTGAGCTTTTCTATCAGCGCTATGGTTCTTACGAGATCTCTGTTTATTTACTTGCACCCAGCCCTGGCTGATTGAAGAGGAAACATTTGACCTGTGGTAATAAAGGAAGAAGGGCAACGTAATTTGTCGTTATTCGATCCCATTTTTGGGAGCCGATGTTGATATCTATTCATCGATCCGGCCTGCCAGGCGAGTATTGAGCCTGGATCTAATCCACAGACCGTGCACGTGTGATATTGTACCACTTTCTCCTAAACCACCCTGAGTTGTGATGATAGTTATAATTGTGAAATCCTTATATACCTCTATCATTTTCCTCTCTTTTGTGCTTTGTGGCTGGCCCTCTAGATTCTTGTTCTTAAAAATTACCATCTTCAAAACTATTCATCCGTTCTTTTCTGTATCTACCATTTGTATTATCGCGTCATCTTTCAACCCTACAGGCTTCCACTGGCTTCGAACAGTGCGGCCTGGGAACGATGCATTTTTGGCATAGCTTCTGAACACCTTTTTCGGCATCAATGGCGGTTAGGTTTAACCAGTTTCAAGTACAAACTTCGTACAGATCGTCGAGAACCTTTGAGCCTTTACCCTGCCCTCCAGGCAGCGTTGTAAATGTCAAAAAGGGGTTTTGCGAAGTTCACCACAGTCTGCACTGGATCTGCTCGGCCATTCGGTCTGAAGATATTTTTGGCTTTCTTATTTACATATTTTCGCTAATCAGAGACATTTGGCTATTAGAACGAACTTTAAGAGGACACCAAAGAAACCCTATTCACCATGAAAACAGACATCTCACTGCTACTAATAAGGCACAATCACTGTTGAAGTGAACTTTGTTTCAGTTCCAGTTTGTTTGTTTGCATTTTCAAATATTTGTCCTTTATCGGCCAATTTTTCAAACCCTGGTTGTGCAATTTACGTCATCGGCGCATGGTATACGGTGTAGAGCGAGAAAGGGAGAACCCGAGAACCCAACATGAAAGCATCGTCAGATTCTCAAATTACCGTTCTGCTAGGCTTGATGGACCGAGTCCGATGGCATATTCATTCAAGAAGAGGAACTAGGACTGGTACCGATTCGCAACAAAAGAAAGACGCGTCTTCTTACTTGAATTTGAGGTTCTTGAAACAAATACGTAGATACCAGGCAGCTAACGACTAGAAATTAGTTGTTGAAGAGGCGCAATGTTCAATGAGGGCTGAGCAAACCTGGTATCGCGCAAATTTCCGTCCACGTTTTTATGCACGAGCATTTAACTGTGCGAAAGATCAGCAACCACTTTTTTAATGTGCATCAAAAGAAGTTGAGGAGGGTGAAGGAGCTGAGCTAGTTCTTCCTTCTCGTTTCATTGCAGCAGGAGCAGATGAGAACTTGTTGGCTCACCCGTTAAACAGACATCATATTGTTCCATCATTTCCACCAGAACACAATAGGGCGGGACCCACATGCCGTCAACACGATGTTTCCATCAATAGTAAGTTCTATATTCTCTAAGGAAGGTAGTCTCAAATGGGACCATCGAAATCGATGAGACAGCGTGTGGCCAATGCCATATTATTCTCTAAAACTCTCCTAAACCAGGCTGAATTACCTATTGTTCTTGAATTCCCTTCATACGTTGGAAAAACTGTCCTCGAAAGTCGATAAGGGTAAATCTGCATCCCAGTTGTGATTTTTGATCATTGCTAGGTAACTGTCGTAAGCATCAGCCCTCACTCTTTCCCTGATTTCTGTTGATTACCAGCTCAACAGCTTATTACTTTCAATCCTCTGCACGCCTCTCCCACAATAGGCGCTCAACCTCTCTTCCTTCGCGAATGCTTAATGATCTTTTTCCTGGGGTTCAGGCATCCCGGGAGAGTATTCCGGATTTTCGGCCCTTGCTGCATACCCTCAAGTGCACGCTCAGACTATTATGGAATATTGAAACTTTTTGCTTACTCGAGTCTACTTTTACAACATTTTCGGACGAAGTTATGAATTTAATCTCGGCTCCCTTATCATGAAGACCTCACTGATTCTGTTTGATAGCCACAATCTACGTATTTGTGTTTTGAAGAATTTCTGAGCAGAATTATGAATTTTTTTAACTCATAATTAGCTTCGCTTACCTCGGCGCCCCTCCTACCCAGAATGATAACTTTCTTTGGAAGTCTTTCGGCATTCCCTACCGAGCTCTAGGATATGAAGCATCTTCTAGCTGGGAGCGTTATGACAATGCCATGAATTTGTAGACCTCTTCGAATTCATTTCTTAATTAACCCTTGACCTTCGTCAGCTTTTCGTTCTCTGGGCTATGAGAACTATGGACATCAATCCTTGGAACTTTCTACTTTGGTGCGTGTACTGCTCCTTCAGGTGGACCTTCACGGCTCCACGTGCTCTGTTGGTCCTGCCCGAC